GGCTAGAATCCTGGCTCTGCTACAAAATAGCTTTGAGACCAGGGAAGAAGTTACTTTTTGTCCCAGTTCTCTTCTCTTTTTAATAGATAATACCCACTAAACAGCCTTATTAAGGAATTTTTATTTTATTTCATTTCATTTTATAAGTATTCAGCAGATCACAGTAATGACAATATTGATAGTAATGATCTCTATCAGAGGTTATTTCTCAGGAGCATTCATTGCAGTTTTAGCCTTTGGTGATTTCCATTTGTATTTCCCCTCTTTTCTCAATCCACTTATACTGTTTCTTGAATAAGTCCCCCCCACCCCCCAGTATTGAGTAATTGTGTATTTTTTTCTTTCTTACAGTTTTGGATATTTAAGTTTGATTGATTATGGTGGCACTGGGGTTTGAACTGAAGGCTTCAAGCTTGCAAAGCAGGCACTTGACTGCTTGAGTCCCGCCTCCAGCCTGGACATTGTAGTTTTTTTAATGGGGAGAAATAATTAGATATTTGTGGTCAAGTGATCATTCTTTTCAGCTAGTTTTTATTTGTTTCTTGGTTTCTGTTACACCTCTCATAGCTTAAATTCCAATATTGTGGTTGTAAATTAAAACTCAAGTCTCTTTCTTTGATATTTATCTATTGATTCTGTCCTTGGTATTATTTCCCACTTTGCCTGTCCTCTGTAACCACTCTCATCCTTTAGGTATATATTCAACTCCCATGGCTTGGAGTTGTGACTAACACATTCTCGTCTCTTTTCTTCATATGTCTGACTGCATAGCAGACATTTCCATCTGGAAGTCCTATAAGAATTTCAGGCTTCACATGTTCAAATTTTCATGCCTCTCCATCTTCTTCCTGTCTTATTTTCCTTGCCTCTCCACTCTTTGCCATGTTCCCTTTCTCACTAGATCATACAAACCACCCAGTCACGTTCTGAGCCAGTTAACTGGAAGTCATGTCCAACTTATATTTCTGTCACAGCCCACTCAAAATCATCACTGACTCTAGTAGTCACTCATAGACAATGAATTAATGCAACAATTAGGATACTCTTACAGAATATTTCTACTGTGGTGTATTTTGTCTTCCATATAATATAAAATTAGGTAAACATGAAGACTTGATAAACAATCTTTAATGAGCTCTGACCCCTGGATATTAGTAAAATAATTTCTTGTTTTAACTGTACCTAATTTTGGTGACTTCAGATTAATTGGGAGTATGTTTTTACAGAGAATGGTGACATTTAAAGATGTGGCTGTGGACCTCACCCAGGAGGAATGGCAGCAAATGAAACCTGCTCAGAGGAACTTGTACCGGGATGTGATGCTAGAGAACTACAGCAACCTAGTCACAGTAGGTAAGGTTAGCTTTGCAGTTGACATGCAGCTCCTCCTCATGCGTGTGATGTACGGAGTACGTGATTGCGTGTACTCTAGTCTTTAGGGTAGCGGCTAATGACTTTGAGTCACTGTGAGCATAACTTTTCCTTATCTTTCATAAGCCCTCAAATTAGTTGCTTTTTCCCATACAGGTTGTCAAGTCACTAAACCAGATGTGATCTTCAAATTGGAACAAGAAGAGGAGCCATGGGTGATGGAGGAAGAAATGTTTTGGAGATGCTCTCCAGGTGAATACATGGAAAACAGCCTTCAATGACAAAGTCATGTGACAGTTGTTAAGTGAGGAGTTGCTACCATTTCACATTTTCTAAGATTTCCTTAAAGGCCCTAGTTTTCCAGAGTGACGTGAATGCCTTAGAATATTGTTACATTTTCAGATGTTATTATTCTGGTTATTGGGATTAGCTTTCTTTTAAAATTTTAAAGGGCCTTATAAGAGCCCATCTGATTTCAGGATGCCAACCTTCCCTAATTCATTTACAACTTACATTCAGAATTATTATGCCTCAATAGGATCCATGGGCTCTTACTCTTTCCTTTTATATTCATGGTTTTATTTTCTTACACAGTACTCAGTATTTAATGGATGTGTAGTATTTCGTAAAGCATGTTTGTTTCAAACTTAGAATCCTTCAAATTTCTTTCCTTTCCATTTTGAAAAACTTCAGACATGTTTTATAACAATAATCACAACTTACCATACTTCATACCCCTCACAATCCCTTGGCTTAGACATTTAAAGGTGTCTGGCTCAGAAATTGCAGAATTTCTTTCTTGCTTATCCTACCTTCCATTTCTTTAATTTATTGAAAATATAATAAATGAATACATGGTTAAAAATATAAATAATCAGAAGGATACATTAAATAGTAATTCTCCCTCTTATCCTTGACACTTAGTCCCTTCATTTGAATACTTTTTTTTTTCAGTTACTCTGACTAGTCTTTATTATTTTACCATAGATATTTTAGACTTAACTGTGTATTTCCAGAGAAAACCTGTGAAGTTTTTATTGGGTGTATGCTAGATGTGTAAATTAACTTTCAGCCACTTGCCAACTTTATATTGGAAAGGTTTTGTATCCAAAACATGCTCCATGTTTGTGTCTGTCTATTCTTGTATCTCTCAGAAATGGAGATTTCCAAATTTTCTTGTATAGCTTTTGTTCATTACTTGTTAAATTTGCCTTAAGTATTAGACAAGAGAGAAAATAATAAGTTCTGTAAGAACTGGAAAGGCAGCCATGAAACAAGCTTTACTTAAAGATGATGGGATTCTATCCCAGGAAAATACAAGAGAACCTATTGAGAAAGCGCAGCAAGTAGTAGAGAATGCCACAAGATGGTGGGACATCAAATTAAGCAAAAACTAGTAGCTTTCATATATACCTCAGCAACTAAGAAGATGACATGAGAGAGAAGAAACCTCATTTATAGTAGTAAATAAAGAATAAAATACTGTTGTGAGCATGGGCATGTAGGAGCATACAGAAGTCCTGCCCTCATGGAGCTTTTAATGTAGTGGAAATTAAGAGTCCCTGAGATCCTTAGACCCACCTGTCCCCCCACCCCAAAAAAGTCCTTGAAGTCTTGTATCTAAGAAAATGTTATTTAATCTTTACATTTGATTGAATTGTGGCTGTGTCTAAAATTCTTGAGCTACACTTTCTTTTCCACAGAAAGACCAATAGAATTCTTGGTTGGTTCCAGACTTTGAATGTTGCTTAGAGAAGATGCCCAGTTACTTCCTCTCATACATAACTCAGTTTATTTGCCTAGTAGTTTGGGGATTTTTTTTTTGGTGTTGTTTTATTTTATTTTGTTTTTTTAAAGCCTTAGAGTTTTATGAGATATCACCCCGGACCAATTTTTCCTTTCAATTTGTGGATTCATGGTTTTTGCTTGTTTAGTGTTATTGTTTAGATTTGATGCTGGTTCCTTTCATAAATGTCATTACGCATCTTTAAATGAGGGTATTTTCTCCTGGATTAACTATTTACAGAATGATGCTTTTGAAAATTGTACAGAAAAAATGCTCTGAGCTGGATAGCTTCTGTACTTCATACTGACCTGTATACAAGGTTTTGTGTTGAAAATTGGTATATCCTTTCTCCCCATTCAAAGAGAGATTGTCATTTTCATGCTTCCTTAATCACCATATTGAAATAGGAAGTCCTCTATGCTATCTCTACACTATATTTGATTCTACCAATCATCCTTCTTGGAAATGTCTTTCTTCTTTCTCCTCTTTAAAAGAATTCAGTTTGTTGAGTTTTTGTTGTTGTTGTTCTTTGGCTATACTGGGAATTGAACCCAGGGCCTCATCCTTGCTAGGTAAGCACTCTAACAGTTGAGCTATTCCCCCAGCCCAAGCATTCTGATTTTTCTTTGGTTCCTGCTCATTCTTTATTTCTTCTTACTTTATGTAATGAAATGTCTTATACAACTTCTCTCAGCTCTCGCTGGACAGCTCCCCAAAACAAAATCACATATAGATGTCTTTCTCTTCTATGTACTTTTATGATATATCTCTGTTCATCTCATTACTTCACTAATTACTTAAGTATTTTAACTCTAGAAATGATTGTATTGGGACATGTATCTTTACTTTTCCTTAACTGTCTAGGTTCTAGAATTTATTAATATTAAGGACCAATTTTCCAGTAAATGGTCCTTATCTTGCCCATCTGTCAACTAACATTCTATTTCATCTCTACTAGAGTGATTTCAGTCTGAAAACATTTTCACACTTTGATGCCTGATAAGTAAATTATTAACCCACCAAGAGAAGTTCTTAATCTTCCTGTAAGTGATTCGTGAATTGGTTGAACTATATTTGGATAGTTTTTTACCTTCTTTTTAAATATTTACCTGTAGACATATCTTCAAAATAAATGCAGTTTAAATTATAATTAAGCCAGATATAGTCATGTGAAATATTGTTGAAACCTGTTTAGTAGATCAAAGACTACCTGGGAATTCTTAAGAGAATGGCTATAGTAGGAGTAAGAACATTAAGACAACTTTCTTTTTCTTTTTAAAGAGAACTTGGATTCTTAAGACGTTATGTTTTCTCTTTTTTTTTTAAATAAGAAAAGCTGAGATATGGTTCAGTGAAAAAACACTTCCCTAGCTTGTGCAAGGCTCTGGTTTGATCGCAGCACTGCAAAAAAAAAAAAAAAAAAAAAAGAAGTGGCCAGTATAGTGGTACACACTTGTAATCCCAGCTCCTCAGGAGGCAGAGGCCAGGGACATCAAGTTGGAGGCCAACCCAAAGGTAGTAAGATCTCCTGCTACTGTGCGCGCGCACACACACACACACACACACACACACACACACACACACAAAGCATGGAGAAAAAAATACAGGGCAAAATTAGTATGGCATACTTCTGGGCCAAAATTGAAGGCATGGGCCTGACTGGAGGAGGAAGGATCCAAAGGGTTTAGTGAAATTGAGGGTGGGTTTAATTATAGTTAGAAAGGCTGAATTTTGCCTGTGTTCATATCCTCTTGTTTTACCCTCTTTCATACTTTTCCTCTTCTTAATCATTGGAGCTATAATTTTGCCCTGTGCATGGTAGCAGCAAGGATACAATGGTCAGTTAGAAGTAGGGGCTACCAAGTTATGGAAACAGCCAAGATGCCCCAGCACTGACGAATGGATTAAGAAAATGTGGTATCTATACACAATGGAATTTTATGCAGCCATGAAGAAGAACGAAATGTTATCATTCGCTGGTAAATGGATGGAATTGGAGAACTTCATTCTGAGTGAGGTTAGCCTGGCTCAAAAAACCAAAAATCATATGTTCTCCCTCATATGTGGACATTAGATCAAGGGCAAACACAACAAGGGGATTGGACTATGAGCACATGATAAAAGCGAGAGCACACAAGGGAGGGATGAGGATAGGTAAGACACCTAAAAAACTAGCTAGCATTTGTTGCCCTTAACGCAGAGAAACTAAAGCAGATACCTTAAAGCAACTGAGGCCAATAGGAAAAGGGGAACAGGTACTAGAGAAAAGGTTAGATCAAAAAGAATTAACCTAGAAGGTAACACCCACGCACAGGAAATCAATGTGAGTCAATGCCCTGTATAGCTATCCTTATCTCAACCAGCAAAACCCCTTGTTCCTTCCTATTATTGCTTATACTCTCTCTACAACAAAATTAGAGATAAGGGCAAAATAGTTTCTGCTGGGAATTGAGGAGGGGGAGCGGGAGGGGGTGGAGTGGGTGGTAAGGGAGAGGGCGGGGGCAGGGGGGAGAAATGAACCAAGCCTTGTATGCACATATGAATAATAAAAGAAAAATGAAAAAAAAAGAAGTAGGGGCTACTAATGAAATATGAAGATTAAAGGATGTCTAAATTTTAAGTTATCCGCAGTGTTGGAACTCCAGGGATAAGGAAAACCAATGTAGAACTAATGATGTAGGAACTAATGATAGACGAGAGGCTGTTAATTGACTAATTGGCAGGTAGCATATACAATGTGGATATGCTGGCCAGATTTCAAGTTCTAGGCAGAATGATGCAATGGGGGGCTTCAGCATGCTATACAAAATAGTGCATAGTTTAAAACATGAATTGTTTACTTCTGGAATTTCCATTTAACATTTTTGGACCAGGGTTGATTGTAGATAGCTAAGACTATGAAAAATGAAACTAAGATAAGAGGAGACTACTGTAAGTGAAAAAAATGTGCAGTGCAGTATTTAGAGTAAGCTACTTTGTGTAAAAAGGGTTGGGGGTATATGTGTATGTACATATAGTGCATGTGTATATCTATGTGTAAGTAAGTACATGATATGTATGTTCTCTTAAAGAATGGAAAAATAATCCTAAAAGTAATTTTAAAAATGGTTACCTGTAGGAGGCAGGAGGGATCAGTGTTTAGGTGCAAGTGGGTGTTGGAATATGCTCCTGTTGAGTAACTTCCCAATATTTTCAATTGATATAAATGGAAGTTGATGTTTAGTACCCTATAGTGCTACCACCACTTCTCTTTTCCTTTTTGTCCTGAATATAGATATATCACAATTTTTGGCAACTTCAATTTTCTCCACTTTCTTTGCTCTCTTAACATATCATGTACTACTGAGTCAAGAAATGACAAATGTGTGTCCTTATATAATTTTGGGCCATTCCTGTAGTTAAACATGATTCTCAAAATCTTTTAAGTATGGAATCCATCATTGTCATTAATCTACCTCATATTGGAGCATGAAGGGATGAAGGAAAATTCTAAAGTTCTTGCAGCTAACAATATTTATATGCTTTTTTTTGAAATAGTGGACTATAATATAGAATAGTAGTGTCACAATCTAAATGTTTTTCTGTGGAGTTCCAGATCCACAGTATCTATAGTTCTTTTATTTTTAAAATTTCCCACATTGTACCTGGAGGTACATTGCCAGCATTCATTACACTAAGCAACAAGAACAGATTAGAGGTGTCACTGTTCAATATTTATACTTTCATATAATTCCTACTACTTTGTTAATATGAAGCCTTTCCTGTGCATCTTCTTCACTTGTTTCTAAGACTAGAGACTCTTTGGTTCATTTTCTCTATAATATAAACCTTCCTTTTCCTGATCACATTGTGAAGACATGGCAACTTCCTGTGTAAATTGGAAGATGATGGTGTATTGGTCAAAGTCCAGTTATAGAATGTACTAGCTACTTGTTTAAGAAGGAAGAAATGTATATTAGGACACTAAATGGCTCCCTGAAGAGGTAGGCTATAGGATGAGTTTTGTAGGAATGAGTCTTAAAGGTATACACAGACATGAGGTGCTGAGGAAGTTCTTTATCCCACTGTGATGATGATGTTGCTTGTGATTGAACCAGGAAAGTGCTTCTACAGCTATGGACTGTGGAACCATGCCACTTATATTGTAATGCCATAGTATAATGTCTGCTCTCTTTCCTCTCCTAATTTACTTCTGGATTTAAATGTGAATCTAAATCATGTGAGAGCCCTACATGCAGTTGTGTATAGGAAATGTAGTTTTAGCTGTCTCATCTTTTGTAAGATAGAAAAACATAGTAGACATTTGGAATAATGTTAGTTAATCAGATCCGTAATACCTGCTGTGTGTGGAGAGGAACCTAACTGCTTCCTATTCAGACTTTAAAATCTTCCTCTTCTTAGCCCTAGTTTAATCCTATCTGTTGATTTTCCTTTTAATAAGCTTGATTTTTTTTAGGTTAGTTTCAGGTTCATAGCAAAACTGAGCTGAAAAGTAGAGTTCCCATATACCATCTGCCTTCCCCCATCCTCCTCCACTATCAACATCAAACACCACAGTGATACAGTTGTTAAAAATCAGGGAATCTGCCGGGCACAGGTGGCTCACATCTATAATCCTAGCTACTCAAGGAGGATCAAGGTTTGAAGCCAGACCAGGCAAACATCTCGAAAATACCTGACATAAAAAGGGCTGGTGGAGTGGCTCAAGGTGTAGGCCCTGAGTACAAGCCCCAATACCAAAAAACAAAAATAATAATAATCAATGAATCCACATTGATGCATCGTTACCACGTAAACTCCATAGTTTACATTAGAGTTCACTTTTGGATTGTATGCTGTGTGGGTTTTGACAAATGTGTATCCCTTAAGAGTATCTTACAGAATAGTTCTACTCCCCTAAAATTCCTGTGTGTTCCTCCTTTCCTCAACATTAATCCCTGGCAACCACTGATGTTTTTCTGTCTCCATGGTTTTGCCTTTTTCAGCATGTTCAGAATCACATCGTATGTGATCTTTCAGATTGAATTCTTTTACTTTATGAATTTATGGATTCTTAATGGATTTATTATGGATTCATGGGTTACTTTATGAATTCTTTCACTTTATTGGATTCTTTTACATGAAAAGACATGGAACTAAGCTCATAACTTGATAACTCACAGCTTAATAGCTCATTACTTCTTAGCATTGACCAATATCCCATTGTGTAGGTTTACCACTTTATTTAATCCAGTCACCTGCCACACAACACCTCCAAGTTTTGATAATTATGAATAAAGCTGCTGGGAACATCCATGTATAGAGCCAAGTGTGGTTGGTACTTGCCTATAATCCCAGCACTCAGAAGCTAAGACAGGAATATTGTGAGTTTGAGGCCAGCCTGGGCTACTTAATTAGAACCTGTTTCAAAAAGAAAAAAGAAAATCCATGTACATAGTTTTGTATCAACATAAAATTTCAATTGAGTAGATGGTGAATGGATGTTCAATTTTGTAAAAAAAACTTCCAAACTGTTCTCAAAAGTGGTTGCAACATCTTGAACACTGTTGTCCTACCAACAGTGAACAAGATTCCCTGTTGATATCTTTGTCACCCTTTGGAGTTATCAGTATTTTTAGATTTGGCTATTCTAATAGATAAGTGTGTGGTAGTTATCTTATTGCTTTAATTTATAATTAATTCCTTAATGACATATGTCAAATGTGTTTTCATATGTTTATTTACTATCTACATACATTCTGAAGAGCCAAGTGTTTGTTTAGATCTTTTGCCAGTTTGTTTTATCAGGTGATTTTCTTAATGTTCTTAAGGTGAGTCTTAAGAGTTCTTTATATATATTGGATAATAGTCCTTTCTCTGATAAGTCTTTTGCAAATATTTTCTCCCAATCTCTGGCTTGTCTTCTCATTTACTTTGTGATGTCTTTTGCAGGGCAGAAGGTTTTAATTTTAATGAAGCTTAGCTTATTTTTTTCTTTCATGGATCAGGCCTTTGGTATTATCACCACCATACCCCAGATCGCCCAGATAATATCTTCTACAAGTTTTACTAGTTTGTGTTTTACACTTCGTTCTGTGATCGGTTTTGAGTTAAACTTTGTAAAGGATGTAAGGCTTGTTTCTGGATTCATTTGTTTGATACAGATGTCCTATTGTTTCAGTACCATGTGTTGAAAAGATTTTATTTTCTTCATTGTGTTGCCTTGTTTCTTTATCAAAGATCAGTTGACTATATTTTTGTAGGTCTGTTCTGGGCTTTTTATTCTGTTCCATTGCTTACTTACCACATCTGTTCTTCCACCAATACCATACTATCTTGATTACTGAAGCTTTATAGTAAATCTTAAAGTTATGTGGTATCAGTCCTCCTTTGTTACTTAATTTTATGTTTTCTGTTGTGGGTCTTTTGCTCCATTTAGATTTTATTGTCAGTCTGTCTTATACACACAGTAGATTGCAGGATAGAATTGCATTGAACCTATAGATCTAGTTGAGAAGAATGACATCTTGAAATATTGGGTCTACCTTTTCAGGAGCATGTAGTATCTATTTATTTAATTCTTGGTCTTTATTCATCAATGCTTTATAGTTTTCTTCATATAGATCTTGCCTATATATTATAGAATTATTCCTGTTTTATTTTGAGGAATGCTAATGTAAACGGTAACGTTTCTAATTTCAAATTGCACATGATCATTCCTGGTATATGAGTAAATTTACTTGTGTGGGTTAACCTTGTATCTTGCAACCTTGTGTAATTATTAGTTATAGCAGCTTTTTTGTTGTTGTTTCTTTCAGGTTTTTCTACATAGATGATCATGTTATCTGTGAACAGTTTTAATATTGTTTCTTCTTTCCCAATCTATATACCTTTCATTTTCTTTCCTTGTCTTATTTCATTAGCTAGGACTAACTGGCAGGTGTTCTACCACTTGAGCCACTCTACCAACCCTATCTAGGACTTCATTATGGTTAAGCGTTGATGAAAAGCAGCATCCTTACCTTATTCCTATTTATTCCTACTTTTTCAGCACTTGAATCCCCTCATCCTTGAGCTTTTCCAGGGTTTTACAGTCAAATAAGTTTATGCATATTGCATTTGCATCTTCATGATACATTACCATCTTAGGTGCTACCTCCCTCCATGCCTTTCATCTTGCACTGTTGTGTTGAAATCTCTTCATATCTGGGTATACACCCCAGTCTTGTCTTACAGGTTCGACCCTTTATTCCTTTTGGAAAGAATTTTAGAAAGGAAGAGAAATAATCATGTGCATTCAGTCCACTGTGTTTGATGACAATGTTAATTTTACCATCTTGTCATTTGATTCCCTATCCAATCATACACGTATTCAACTTTTCATTTTAATTCTGTTTATTTTGCTGATTTCTTCATTGTATAAGAACACTCTCAAAATCAGTCAGTGCTACTTGGGTCATAAATGTCAGTTTTTTGTCCATAATGTCATCGATATTAATTAACTTCTCAAACCTTAGGAAGTAGAGTTCTTTCTTACTGGTTGACTGAGGCCAGCAACAGAAACTGAATCCCATATTAGCAGGTTTTTGAAATGTTGTGAATAGGATAGTGGTAGAAAAATTCACAAGTAATAACTTTTGATCCTCCATTTTAGAAGTTTGGGAAGTTGATGAACAGATCAAGAAACAACAGGAAACACTTGTGAGGAAAGTCACATCCACCTCCAAGAAAACTCTGACTCAGGAAAAAGTCATTAAATGTAAAAAAGTTGCAAAAATATTTCCACTGATCTCAGACATTGTTACTTCAACACAAAGCTTCTATGAATGTGACTCACTTAACAAGAGATTGGAAAAAAATTTAGATTTACTTAATTATGAGAAAGGCTGTATAAGAGAGAAAAAGTATGAATGTAATGAGTTTGGGACATCATTTTACAATTGCTCATCCTATGTTGTGACCCCCTTTAAGTGTAACCACTGTGGACAAGACTTCAGCCATAAATTTGACCTCGTCAGACATGAGAGAATTCATGCTGGGGAAAAGCCTTACGAATGTAAGGAATGCGGGAAAGCCTTCAGCAGGAAGGAGAATCTTATTACACATCAGAAAATTCATACTGGGGAGAAACCATATAAGTGTAATGAATGTGGAAAGGCTTTCATTCAAATGTCAAACCTCATTAGACACCAGAGAATTCATACTGGGGAAAAGCCTTATGCATGTAAGGATTGTTGGAAAGCCTTCAGTCAGAAATCAAATCTCATTGAACATGAGAGAATTCATACTGGAGAAAAACCCTATGAATGTAAGGAATGTGGGAAATCCTTCAGCCAGAAGCAAAATCTTATCGAGCATGAGAAAATTCATACTGGGGAGAAACCTTATGCATGTAATGAATGTGGTAGAGCTTTTTCTCGAATGTCATCTGTGACTCTACATATGAGAAGTCACACAGGGGAGAAACCCTATAAATGTAACAAATGTGGAAAAGCTTTCTCTCAGTGCTCAGTATTTATTATACATATGAGAAGCCACACAGGTGAGAAACCCTATGTATGTAGTGAGTGTGGGAAAGCCTTCTCTCAGAGTTCATCCCTTACTGTACATTTGAGAAACCATACAGCTGAGAAACCCTATGAATGTAATGAGTGTGGAAAAGCCTTCAGCCGGAAAGAAAATCTTATTACACATCAGAAAATTCATACTGGAGAGAAACCTTACGAATGCAATGAGTGTGGGAAAGCTTTTATTCAGATGTCAAACCTCAATAGACACCAGCGGATTCATACTGGTGAGAAGCCCTATGCATGTACAGTATGTGGGAAGGCCTTTAGTCAGAAATCAAATCTCACTGAACATGAAAAAATTCATACTGGAGAGAAGCCCTATCATTGTAATCAGTGCGGAAAAGCCTTCAGTCAGAGACAAAATCTCCTTGAACATGAAAAAATTCATACTGGAGAGAAACCATTTAAATGTAATGAATGTGGTAAAGCCTTCTCTCGAATCTCATCCCTTACTCTTCATGAGAGAAGTCATACAGGAGAGAAACCCTATGACTGTAATAAATGTGGAAAAGCCTTTTCTCAGTGCTCATTGCTTATTATACATATGAGAAGTCACACAGGTGAGAAACCCTTTGAATGTAATGAATGTGGGAAAGCATTTTCTCAAAGAGCATCTCTTTCTATACATAAGAGAGGGCATTCAGGTGAGAAGCACTGAGTGTACTAAAATGAGTTGAAGGCCTCTCATACTCAACCCATCATTTACTTAAAATATCTTGATGAAAGCTCAGAAACATTTAAAAATAAATGAGATCTGCTTGCAAAAATAGGAACACTTTATTGGCTCTCATATACCATGTACATAAATGGAGAAACCCAGTATCATACAATTGTCAGTTCTCAAAAATACATGGTTTGAGTGCAACTGCAGACAATCTTAAGAATTTTCTAGAATATTTAAAATGATTCTAAACTTCATGTGATATTGGGTCTATGCTGAGACAGTTTTGAAAAAGAACAGAGACACCCTCCATACACACATAGTATAATCCTAAACCTTGGGAGGCTGGGGCAGGAGGATTGTGTTTAAGGCCAACCTGAGCTATATAAATAGCCGGCTGTTTCAAAATTTCCAGAAAAATAGTACTGTTTACTGTATAATATAAAGTAAAATTATAGTCATTTGAAAGTGAATGGTGCTGGGCACCTGTGGCTCACACCTGAAATACTAGCTACTCAGGAGGCAGAATCTAGGTTTGAAGAATCTAGGTTTGAAGCCAGCCTTGGTAAATAATTCACAAGACCCTATCTTGAAAATACCCAGCACAAAAAAGAGCTGGCGGAGTGGCTCAAGTGGTAGAGCACCTGCCTAGCAAGTGCAAAGACCCTGAGTTCAAACCCTAGTACTGCCAAAAAAAAAAAGTGTATGGTGTTAATGAATTAATAGGTAGGTAAACAAAGTAAAGAGTAGAGTGCCTAGAGATCGACCCATGGATATATGTGGACTTGGTGTATGTTTAACATGACATCATGAGTTAGGGACATAATAACTCTCTGTGTAAACTGTGTTCCAAGGGATTTGGAATAGTGAATTATGAACTCAGTCTTCACTGAATTGTGAAAAGTCAGACTATGAAGCAATTGCAAGAGAATACAGGATATTTCTATAAATTTGAGGTAAGAAAGCTTTTTTTTTTTTAACAGACAAAATGATCCTGCCATTCTTCTGGATATGCATTCTAGAGAAACTCAAATAATTCATAAGAAACATATATGCAGTATGAACTGAAAACAATCTAAATATTCACCAGTGGGTCAAGCAGATGAATAAAATGCGATATATTCAAACAATGGACAGCAGTTAAAGACAACTGGATCCATGTTGAATAACATGGATAGTTACCTAAAACAGTGTTGAGTGAAAAAAGTGAAAGATGAAGCATTATGTAATGTCACTAAATCCTGATGAAATCACTTACAAAGAGCCAGAAATGTTTTACTATTGAAATATGTACGTATGTATGTATATGTATATGAAATTATTGAAAATGGATAGAAAGATATGCAAAGTTATTGATAGTGTTTTCTCTGACAAGAGATGAGGATTGGGGGTTTGTTGCTTTAGTTTTACTTGTAATTTTTATGTCTTAACAAAAACCTGGTACCATGTAAAATAAATCTTAAAAGTTAGTAATACGCAATGGTAGTATGAATGGCTCGTTTTAATAGTGTTTTCCTAGTTATTTTTCAGAATTAATAGATGTGAGAAACCTGTGAGCAAAACTTTTAATGGATTCATATGCCCTATCAGATGCTGAACTATTTTTTCAAAAATATTTCCATGTGCTGGAGTATGGGATTCAAGCCTGCAGTTCCAGCACTTAGGAGGAAGAGGCAGGAAAATTGTGAGGTTGAGGCCAGACCTCGCTACACTAGTGATACCCTGTTTCAAAAGAAAAAGGAAAGAAAAGGAAATTAATACTTAGAACAGTACTATTTAGTATATAATATGAAAACAGTATATTTTGTCAATTCTGATTTTTTTTTTACATTTTAACATTGAGATTTGGACTCATCTCAACTGATATCTTAGATTCAAGTAAATATTTAATTATTAAAAATTTGAGGAGTAGAGGAGTGACTCAAGTGGTAGAATGCCTGCCTAGCAAGTATGAAGCTCTGAGTTCAAACCCCAGTACACACACACACACACACACAAAAAAAAAAACCTGAAAATGTTTTCATTTACTATTTTAGGACATGGTAGTCTACTACACACTTTGAAGACAGATTTGTTAGGTTCATAGCTAACTCATAATATGTTTGGAGTCATTGTGCAAGGAATAAGATTTTATTTGGCTGCAATATTAGTGTCTTTATCCTGTAAGGTTTCATATAACCAAGATGAGCATTAGTGTCATCATTAGTCATAACAATATTTTGAAATGAAAAATCCTTCTTTTTTCCTTGAGTCAGCCTAAGCAATGTTATAAAACTGTTCATTCTTAGCCTGCAGAACATTTTATTCTTTCCATAACCCTTGACTTCTGTGGTTATTGTTTAGAAGCAGTGGTGGTCCCAGATTCTAAGCAGTAATATAGTTCCTCTAAAAGGGTCTCATTATCTATAACAATACATGAGCCAACCCTTATTAAGATAATTTTTATTATGCCATAATACTTAGATAACCTCAAATACCATTTTCATTAAAGAGATAAGAATTGAGCATGTTGGTCAAGAGGGATCTTTAGCTTTTGTGTTTGAACATTAACTGCAGTTTTTAAACTGATTTCACAAAAGTAAATCTTTTCAAATGAAATATGTATAGTAAAACCATTGCTACCCTCTTATCATTTTGATTTTATTTGGTATCCTGGAAGATGGGCAGTGGTCATGTTTTAAACCTCATGAACTGATTTTAATGAAAACAATGATTTACTAAAGCCTACATAGCTAAAGAAGTATCATCATTTCATATAATATATTCTTTAACAGATAACAGACTTTATGCTAAATCTTACAGTTTTTAAAAACATACCTAATATTTGTAGAATTTTTTTAAATAATAGTATTCACATTTTATGCATTACCCACACAAGAAACCCTATTTAAATATTTTCAGTTTTAAGACTTTTTTTTGTCTAAACTCTCATTGTTCTCCAAGATTTCCTTCTTTATATTCCCCCTTATTGCCCCACTTTTCATGTATCCCTTTGCCTCTTTCTTTACATAATTTGAAGGCAACAGAGAAATTTAAATTTTCGGTTTTGTATCAAAGTACCACCTAAGGTTTCTCTTTTGGCCTCTCCTTCACCAGAAAGACTGGCTGAGCTTATTTGGTAAGATAAAGAGCCTGAGAATTAGTTGAGTCTGAAGTCTAAAATCAGGTGTTTTACTGATTATAAGCAAGCAAGTGATCTGGTCTCTAGATTCATTTTCCCCCTGTCTTAAGGGGTAGTAATAATAATACAGATAAAAGTGACTAAGAGAACTGGGGAAGAAAATATTAATGAAAGCCTGGGGAAATCCCTCTATACCTGAATGTACTGGAGCTGCCACCTAGAAAGTTTCCTTGTAGACTCCAAACTGCTTATGGGTTCAATTCCTAAAAATGGCCTTGGAACACAGAGTAAAATATTAATAGTGGCTTGGACTAGAGATAGAGCAATAGAGATTGGTAGGTTTGAGGTATAGTTGGGAAGGTAATTCAATAGAATTTGCTTACATGAAGATGAGGGAAAAGAGATAATGAATGAACTGTGCTTTTATGGTGAGCAACAGACTGGATGGTGAACCATTTGCTTAACATGCAGCAGACTAGGGAGAAGCATTTAGTTTTAACATTTAGGATAAAAGTTGAGGATAGAATCAAGATCTGTTCCAGGCTTTCTTTTATTTTGCATTTCCCAGAAGCAGGCCTTGAGATAAGGATTCCTATCAAAAATGATTTATTAACGAATTGCTGCCACTAAGAGGGTAAGAATGTAGAGGAAGCAAGACAGGAAGCGGGGGGGGGGGGAAGAGGCAAGGGTGTGATAAGGGGTCCTGCCACCATTAACCTGATCCCTGAGGAGACTGGAGTGGAAGCTAGGTATGCCTCAGAGTTACTTAGATTCCATCTTTAAGAACAACACACTTACACTGCCAATTCTTGAGAATCTTAACTGCTCACAACTTAACAGTTAAGTTCCTCCACAGGAATTATTCTTGATTGAAAGGAGCTGCCTTGGACAAGGTTACACTTTCTTGCCAAGGACAGTCTGGCCCCCTTTGCCTCACTTTGGGACAATCTGAAGCGATTAGGATTCACTGAGGATTTATAACTGTGTTACAGTTCAATTTCACTTTCTATTCAATTCTACTTTCCTCCTTTCCTTACTAAAGATATCCCCATTTGATCTCACCATAAATTTCCATCTCAGACTCTGCTTGCTGTGGAACTTGACCTAAGCAGTGGAGAATTTGCAGTAGCAGTTCTCTACCTGGGACGGGGAGGGTGGGGGGATTCTTGAAGTGTGATTAACTTGTTTGAAAACTAGTGTACTTTTTGCATGTTACCATAAAGAATATATTTTGTGAAAAAATTGCTTTTCTAAAAGTAGCAAGAGTAGCCTTGTTATACAGTTTTGCAAATACCTTTATTGACTTTATGGAAGAAAGCTAGGTTCTTCTACCTGCTTCTGTATTCAGTCTGTTGCAGTGTCACATTCACGTGGACTCAGAAATGCCTTTGCATACTTACAATTAGAGTGAAAACTAAAAAAAATAAAAAATAAATACCCATAGCATCATATGAGAATAGTTTCGACTTCGGGGACCCCAAATGATTTCCAGACCACAACTTTAAATAATTCCTATTTTGACACTTTGTCTCTTCAAAAATTCAGTGTCACAGATTAAAGAGAAGTATAGAGATAAAAAGGTAGGTATTGTCATGGTACTAATAATATGTTGTCTCAGGTGAGAACTGGAGAACCAAAACAGAATGATGGGTAAGGAAAATGTTAAATATGTAGCTACATAAAAACATTGATAGCAGACATGAAGAGCAAAGTTGACTTACAGGGTCAAAAAAGACTGGTCAACAGTGACGTGTAACTCAGCACGGAAGTGTTTTGATGAAAGTATTTCAGGTCCATTTATTGTTTTTGAGTAACATACTTAGTAGGACATCAGAGACCCAAAATAAGTATTTT